AAGTGTAATTTTCTACTTCAATATAATAAAAACCTTTAGTTTTTCAAAATGTTTCTTTTTCCGGAGGAAAAATGAAGTACATACATAAATAATGTGAAAATTCAAAAGAAAAACTAGGGTTAACCAGCTGTAGTTCAGTCAGATGCTATATGAATGGCAGCAGGGATAAGTCCAGGTTCTAGAAAAGGAATAACTTATTGACTTTTCGAGCCATATAATATCCTTGGGGGAATATTGGATGGCAAGGGTAAATAAGGGTGGTAAGACTTCTACCACAATTTTATAGGTAATTAAAAAAAACTCCTGATTGCTCTCCTGTTTTGTCCCCTAGATTTCTGAAGACACCGTCACAGCTAACAACCTCACAATGGTACAGCTGGCAGAGGGAGGGAACTGGATAAACTGAGAAGCAGACTGAGGCCAAGCAAGGAAAAAAATGGCAGGCAGAACTAGGAATGTATCTTCCTATTTATTCTTGACAAGATATCACAAAGTCAGAACCAGGGCAAGAACCAAAACTTAATGACTACTAATCTGATACTATTCATTACCAATCACAGTGTTTTCTTACTCTTATAATATATATATATATATATATATATATAAACAATATGATCATTTCATATTTGCATGGCACTTTCATATTTTTTAAAAGTAATTATTTCATTTTATCCATGCAAAAACCCATAAGAAAGGTATAATAATTATTATCATTATTTTAGAGAAGAAGAAACTGAGGTACACGAGATTCTAGCACTATAATGTCAGCTCACTGAAGGCAGGGACTGTTTTATATTTCTATCTGCAACACCTAGCAAAGCACACATTCCTTTTTTTCTTCTCAGGCCACCCCACTAATTTTTGATCTTCTCTTTGCTTGCAATGTACTTCTACTCACTGTTAACCTTCCCTTCCATTCCCCAAAGGTATGTCATCTTAGAGAAGCAAATCTTGAGTGAACAGGAAGGCCAACGTGTTTTTCTTCAGGTGTAAAAAACTCTTTATTTTAGAATCTTGAGAAGGAACCCCAGGAAGATTCCATGATGAAGCTTCTTTTCTTGCACAGTAGAGTAAAGCTCTCACCCCTTAATTCTATTCCCAAACCATACAATTAGATAATCACTGGACTGTAAGATACTTAAGAGCAGGGACTGTTTTTTGCCTTAGATTGCATCCCCAATGGTTAGCACAGAGCTTAGCATAGAGTAGGTGCTTAAGATTTATTGACTAAAAAACCATGAAAATGTTTATTTACTGACTACAAGAACTAGAAGAAATATCTCTATAGATGTCTTGTAGCCCTAATAGTCATAAATGGCATAGTCAGAAACCAGGGATTAGATTATAGGTAGAAACTTCTCTTCTACACATGAGCATTAGATTTACCCTTTTTTTTTTTTGGGTGAGGCAACTGGGGTTAAGTGACTTGCCCAAGGTCACACAGCTAGTACATATCAAGTGTTTGGTCTAAGGCCGGATTTGAACTCAGGTCCTCCTGACTTCAGGGCCGGTGCTCTATCCACTGTGCCACCTAGCTGCCCCCATTAGTATTAGATTTAAAAACTTCAAGATACTTGGTACTATAACAAGCAGAACTCATTCTACTGTATTTTGTCCCTTGATTTCTGTCATTCCTAATTTCCTCTACCTTGTTATTTACATACCACACACTTTTTCCTTAATCCCTTATCTGTGCCTGCTCCCCTAAAAATACTAGCTGTTGCTCTTGAGGTCACAGTAGAATACTGAGCTACTTAGGAATACGCACATAACTCTGTATACTTGTAAAGGGAGCTGCCCCTCACATGTTCAACAGTACCCTGAGCTGCTACAAACTTAATCAAAACCAGCTCTGGTGGAAGCAAAACCACTTCAGTCACAGTAATTCTGACCTCTGTTCTAGCCATGCTAGGACAAGGCTACTTTCAAATTTTAAGCAAAACCTTTACAAAGAGACCCTTGCTGGCCTTTTCTTTCTTTCTTTTTTTTTAAAAAGTAGCATCACTGGTTGTCTAGTGGTACAAAATATAGAAAAAATTATAAACACCCAGGAATCCAAAAAGATATTAAATTCATCACAATTCTTTTGCTGTTACAGCTGTATGACATTTTAAAATTACCTGTTCACACTCATTCTAATGGATACCAGAGGCTGTATAATATAATGTTAGGCACACTGGTGTCAGAAGATTTGGATTCAAATCCTGCTTCTGAAATTAACTATGTGACCTTGGGTAAGTTATATAACCACTGGGCTGCAGTTTTCTTATCTATAAAATGGAGATGATAGTAATGCTTGCACAATTTCCTTCAAAGAATCTCAGGGTGAGAAGAGAATTCATGGATTATCTGTACCTGGCCAGGTAGCTTTAACCATACCTGAACAAGAATCCTCTCTATAACACAGTAGCTATTTAGACTTTTCTTGAAGTTCTCTAGTGAAATAACTTATTACTTCCTGAAACAACTCATTCTCCTTTTGGATAGCTATCCTTCTTAGGAAAATTTTTCCTTACATAAAACCTAAATTTCTTTCTCTATAAGTCCTACCCACTGCTCTTCATTTTTCCTTCTGCAGCCAAAAAGGATAAGCCTAATTCCTTTCCTCATGACAGTTCTTCTCACACTTGAGGAACACATCCATTGTGGTGCCACCTAAGTTTTTTTTTTTCCCCAGTAAGTATCTTTTAAGTGTCTACAATATACGCTGGGCGCTGGGGATGCAAAGACAAACATGAAACAGTTTTTGTCCTCAAAGAACTTACAGTCTATAGGGAGAGACAACATGTACATATAAAAGTATATGTAAGAAAATAAATACAAAGCAATTTGGGGTTGATGGTGAGGAAGGCAGTAACATGTGGAGTAGGGAACAGGAAAGGCCTCATGTATAAAGCAGCACTTGGACTGAGCTATTCTCTAGGCTAAACATTTCCAGTTCCTTCTGTTCTAGCCAACTGGATCTTTTTGAATCCTGACTCACCCACTGCTCTTACTTATTTTATTTATTTCTGAGTCATTTGTAAATTTGATGAGCATGCAATTTATGCTTTTATCCTGATCACTGATAAAAATGTTAAACAGCAAAAGGTCAAGCACAAATCTCTGTAGCACTCTATCACAGAAAGACCTCCTTCCAAGTTGAAAGGACTGCTTTGAGGAAAGCAATTTGTAAATCATAAACATTATATAAATATCAGCTATTAGCATTACTTTATTCCACAATTTATAATACATTATTGTATTATAAATTATACTGTAGGGATGTCATCCAAAAAAATTTGAGATGATACAGAAACCTATTTCGAGCTATCTGAAAATGTGATGTATACTACCTTGGGTGACATTTTTGACAATATATGTTGAAATTATACATATACTGAAAATTTCTGCATCAAAAATTCATTTTTTTTTTGAGTGCAGCAATGGTCTTGCCTTGTCTGCTTGTAATCCTGCAACAGTTCACATAAATGCTGGATTAAATTGAGATGAGCCCAAGGGATATGAGTCAATTTAAGGTTAGGTGTGAAGCAGTCTTAGGACACCCTTAGTCTGAATGATTCTTCAGAGACCCAGTATGGTTTCTGTATAATCTAAGGTGTGTGTGAACATTCCTAGGACACCTTGAAATGAATTTTAATTTAGCCCCTCAAACTGAAATAAGTCTCCTGAGGTCTTCCAGATTTCCTAACTACTTAAATTAGAAATGGAATAACATTTGGAGTAGAGAAATAGAGTAGTCACATTTGACCTTGGGTACTAGTTATACCCTCTCAGCAAAAAAATAAAATAAAATAAACAGATCAGGAAAATATTCAAGTCTTGGTCTTTCTGTCTGTGATAGCTATATCCTTTAACTATCATTAAAATATTACAAGGCATTTGGACTTGAATTAGGAAAAAAAACTCAACTAGCAGCATGAGCAGATTTTCATAAATGCTAGGAAGTGATTGTAGTCTATATAAATGAAAAATTCAGATGTCGATGAACCTAAATAATTTTTATTTTCAGCAAAACTGGATCCTATAAACAGTATTTTTCACTAAAATGTTTTCCCAGTGCTAGGGTGACCATTTCCGACTCCTTTAAAAAGGGTGCAATGAGACATGAGACAGCAAACAAGACAGAGCGGAGAAAGTACTAAATAGAGAGTGAGCTTGACTCTTTCAATAACTAGTTGTGGTCTTACAAGACACATAACTTTTCTAGGCTTCAGGTAACCCACCGGTAAAATGAGGGAGTTGGAAAAGTTGATTTCTAAGATCATTTTAGCTCCAGCATTAACTTAATGTATATTATTTAATGTTACATATTGAAATAAGAAAAATTCAAAAGTCTAATTTAAGTTTTTCTAGTTGGTAGTCAAAATTTACCTTTTAGTAAATTAGTACCTTTCCTCTTAAAAATCTGTTCATACTATATCTTTTCCATCTAATACAGAATTATAGTTTTCTGATTGGCAAGTGAAACACTAGCAACATTTCAAATAGCTTTCCATTTGTATCACTGGAAGGAGTGGAGATGCTTAAAATTTTTGCCCCAGAGCACCAAGGAAGCACAAACCAGAGGCGGGGGAGGAAGAGGAGAGAATCTATAACTTTAAAGACTAATTTTCACTAGTTAGACCAGTGAATTGAAAAAATGCATGCTATCTTTGTTGTGATGCAGAAATTAAGTACTGTTTACCATATAATTAAAAGAAAAAACCCCTTAGGGCTCGAAATGGTCAAACTTTACAGCCTATTGATATAAGCATGTCATCAGGACCTTCAAATACACATTTGCAGTAGTAAATGTCTACAAACAATCAAAATGGGTGCACATTATAAACATCATCAATGAATACTCACTTGAATTGCTGTAATACCTTGGATTCAACTACTGGGTCTCAAAGTAGGTTTGTTTAAAAATTAAGGAAAAAACTAAGTTTTAAATTAATGCCATTTAGTGTACTTTTGGCCCTTATGCCTTAATCATTACTTCACTCATTTAGACTCACCTTAGTCCAAGGATGTGCCTTAATCTGAGGAAATTTGAATTCAGTGTAGTTTGGATTCATTTCTCGAATTTGCTCTCGTGTTGGTGTTCCCAGGACCTAAACAGAGAAAGAAAATTCTTTATATAGTCTATAGAAGTTGAAGTATATTCATTATTTTGTAACACATGCTACACTGAGAAAGTGACTTAAATTACACTGACACACAGCTGGTTAAATAAAGCAGACATGATGAAAGCCAAATTTTATGATGTGTTGCTTCCTAGGGAGCATCTCTAAAGACAAATAATACTGATTTAGGATTTTAAAATTAATTCATAAAAAATGAAGTTAGGTCACACATATTTGCAAATACTTGTATATCAGCTGTTATCAAACCCGAAAGCTGTCAGAATTCTCTTTCTCCACCTAATTTGCTTATTTGTAACACATGGCATTACCACTGGTCCAATAACAATCTCTGAGCTGACTTCCAACTGGCTGAGACATCTGAATCCATAATTCATTCATCACTTTTTAGAGTTCCTGAGTAAAAGCTAAAATTTCAGAAATATGAGAAGGAAAAGGGCAACAGCTAGTTAAGGAGAGGGAAAAGGAGGGAGAAACTGGGGAGTACTGCTCCTAAAGCAGAATAAAAAGGATGAATAATCTCTGTAGTTAAGACCAAGGGAAAAGTGAAACTGCTAAGAATGCATAAAAGAGGCATCCTAGTGACTCTTAGCAGTATTTTCCATTGAAGAGCCATGCAATGTGCTGGTAGCTTTCTGGTTCCTTAATATTTCATGAAAAATTTGGGTAGTCCACCTGTTGTCACTCATTCATACTAAACAGCTTTTCTGATTACGCATCTTGATTATTTTTTTACACCATTTTTTCAATGTGAATCATCACCAGCAATATGCTAAAACATACTTATACTTACCATTTATCTTTTTATTCCACTTCGAGTCATCTACAACTTTGACTTTTTCAATATTATGGTGGGAAAAGAGTGGACTAAAAAAGATGGGACTTGGTGGCAGTGAGCATTTTGGGATCTTTGAAATCAATGTACAATTTCCCAGCTTTACTTTTTGTTCCCACTAAATTATAGCCCAGCGAGCCTGAGCTATGTGCATTTTTCACCTACCTAAAAAAAGTTTCATTGATGCCATGTTTCTAAAGACTCAATTAGTTTCCAATATATTCCCCCACCTTTCAAATCCTCTTATAACAAAGAAAAAGTTGCACAAAACTCAAAAGATATAGCAATTACCTGGCAGTATATACAACATAAAAAAATATTCAGTTTTCCAATTCAGCACCAAGAGGTGGGAAATATGTTTTACTATTATTTATTCTGTATATGCACTTAGGTCTTCCAAGACAGAACATAAGCTTCTTGACAGCAAGGTCTACTTTGTTTTTGTCCAATGCCTAGTATAGAGTAGGTATTTTAATTAAAGCACAACAATTAGGCTTCTCATCTGACTGATCTGCTGCTCCCAGGGAGGAAGGCAGGTTACTGCAATTGTATTTTCTTTTACATCACTTAGTCAATGCATACATTATTCCCTTGGTTCTACTTTATTTACTCAGAATTAGAGTTCTTATAATCTTACTCTGTTTCTCTGAAATCCTTATGTTTTTTGTTCTTTGCAGCAAAATAATATTCTATTATATTCATATACCAGGTTTGGTTTAGCAGTTTCCCAACTGATGGGTACCCACTTTGTAGCTGTTTGCTAACAGCGTATAAAGTCCTTGAGGGAAGGGACTATTTGACTTTTTTATCTGTATCTCTAGAGCTTGGCACATAATAAGACTTGATAAATGCTAGTGGGTTGACTGCTACCATAAAGAATGCTACTAGAATAATTTTGTTACTTATGGGATCTCCTCTGGATATATACCCAGTGGTGGTGGCATGAGATGAAAAGGGGTTAACAGTTTAGTGATTCTTCTCACCCAATCCCAAATTTTTTCCAGATCACTCAGACCAATTCACAATTCAGCCAACATTACAATAATGTGTTTATCTCCTCACAGCCCTTCCAACATGGCCTATTTCTATCTTTTATAATCTTTGCCAATTCGATACATCAACTTTGTTTTTTACAATACAGCTAGTTAGGCCAATCCTTCAAATGGCTATTGATTTCACCGAGCAGATTTCATAGTGCTCTGGGTGTTGATATATCTATCACAGCTGAACTAGAGTCCTATGAATCCTATTTATAAATACTGTTTCTATGTGAACTCATTTTGGGCTTAAATGAGAATTCCAAAAACACATCCCAATGATGCAACTCCAGGAATAGCAGGATTATTGTCTTTGCTCTGTTAGAACCCCCAAATAGAAGGACTCCAGAGGCTCCAGCTATGGAGAAGGAAGTCTCTGGCCAGGGTGGTCTTTAGCATGAAAAGGAGAGTCATAGGTTGGACCTTCTCTATACTTAAAAAAATGTTGGCTGATAAGAAATCTTCTGACTTGGGTTATTAAAAAAAAAAAAAAAAGGCCAAGATCCCTTTGGAAGCTTCCAGGGAATTAAGTTTGTTTAGCTATAGTTGGGCATAGGTATCTCTGTGGATTAAGGTAAGGCAGTATGAGAGGGTATGAATGTGAATATAGTTTTACTTCATTAGGTAAGTTCCTGAAAAATATATAAAGCTAAAAAAAATACACTGAATCAAGAAAAGATCTAGAGCAATGACACAACCTACTTAAAAATTCCAGTGTCAGATTCAATGAAATGCAAGAAGTTTATAGGGAGTAGCTCTACCATATACCAAGTTAGTAAAAGTAACAGTTCAAAAGTGTATAACTTTTAAGTTAATAAAGCATGTTTCCTATAATAACCCTGTGAGGTACTCATTGCAAAGACATAATCTCAATCAAGGACAAAGAATTCAATGAAATTAGAATTTCATGACACAAAACCACATGACTGGACTAAGTTCTTATATACTGTAATGACCAAGGGCAGACTGCTACTTGAAATGAATGTTAGTATTCTTAAACGTGCTTTTTTCCCCCACTCAGAAACAGATATCTGAAGTCAAATGGAAAATGATCTGACACACACTGGTTTCTGGTTTATGCACAACTTTTCAGGAACTTAGATCTAACGTGTAAAGTGAGATCACACTTCACCCCAAAATTCATATGCACTCCCTCTCATTCATCTGGAGGTACACACCAAATACATTTCTATTCAGGAACCTTTCACCAAATATACAGGACTTACATATTAAAGATTCAGAATAACTGTCTTTCAATATTTGTAAAGCATTCTTCCTCAGTGAATGAAATTTTATCATTCCACATACAAATATCAAGTATAAGCACCAGCAGTACTACCCCTAGAAAAATCTGCACTAAGGACCAGTGAATCTGTCCTTAATTATGCCAATCAATACAGGAAAAAGTAAGAGTATAAGATAGGTGGTAAGGCTACAGAAAGACCAGCTCTGATATTATCAAAACATAGTGCCACAGCCAGACTATCTGTTTAACAGTAGCCAAGGTGGCAAGCTGGGCTGAAATAATACTGGAAATCATACTTTTGCTGTCAGGCTCGCTTTCACTTTCTACTTCTTGGTTTCTAACATTTACCTCCACTGAAAGAGACTTGGTCTTTGTAAGGCTCGTGTTATTTTTCTTACTTACCACTGACTCCTACCTCCCTTGCAGATTGGAATCACAGCTAATTCCAAAGACAAGAAGATCCTGTAGAGGAGCTATGGTGCTAGAAGTGAAGTTACTTAGATTAGCAGCTTCATAGTTTCAATCACACTTCTGAGTATTTTCAATATTGCTTCAGTCTCTTTCAATACTTCTGGGGGCATTTTACAATATTCAAAATAAATGTTCAATTTGAGCTAATAAGTTGTAGAGGCAGAGAATTTAAATTCCTTTCTGCTACAGCAGGGAATATAATCTTTCACAAAAATATAACATTAAAAATGGAAATTCAAATCACAGAATATCCTATATATATATCCTATATATGGTACCATGTGTCAAACTAAGGGATACTGGTTTGTTTTTTAAATCGAGGTAACTACTCTACTGGCTATATGATCCTGGGTTAGTCAAAAGAGTTTAAGGTCTTTGGGGAAAAAAGTATTATACATGAAACCCCACTTAACACATATTTACACTAAAGTATTTAAGAAAATTTGCAAAAGAACATAAAAGGAAAATCTTATGAAGAAAGTCAAATACTATAAAATCCCAAGGGATATGATCCTTTTGACTTATAAGCTCTTAGGTATTATAATATCATTAACAAATTAATTTAATTTTAGGTTGTGTAAAAAGATTCTTTTCACACAAAGACATTACTGGAATAGTAAATAACTTCACGTTGGCCTCTGGTGAGAAATGTGGATTTGAGAAAAGTTGCTCGCATTTGCAAATCAGAAAATAAACTGATCCCAACTACAACCAAATCTCTTGCCCATCTCTTAGCACATGTATTTGCAATTGGGTAAAAAGATTTACCCAAATGCAATCTAGTTATTTAACAAGCTGTTTTACTGTGATTATATAATTTACAACATGTATTAGAGTATTATGAATATGAAAGTAGAACTGATCTCTATGGGAATACTGGATGCTTTTATATACCTCTTCTTTAAAAAGACATTAAAAATATTTTCTTTCTTTTTAATTGCTTTTTTTTCTAGCATTCACTGACAATTGGGTGGAGGAGTTAGAATACTATGTGATCCCTAACAAACCTACCAGACTTTCTCATCTGCTTCCAACACTCAGCAACCTCTCATCTTCTGAGCTTCACTCTACAAATTCATCACTCAATTTAGGATCACAGTAGCCGTTATGTGCTTCTTACTTCTCAACAACTTAAGTCAGTGGCTCTCAGTCCATCCAAACTCGTGCTGGCATACTAGCTGATGTCTCCTCCCAGGTGTTCAATTTACTCAACTCCCATTACACACTTCTCCACTCCACATCATTTACTCATGGGGATGGTCACAACCTTACCTGTGCCATGATATGAAGATTTTCTATTACCTTGTTCAAGAACATCTAATTTCCCTATACACTGAACATTACATAGCAATATCTTACCATTCCATCTCTGTTTTACTGG